TAACAGAAATAAAGAGGAAAAGTGATGAGACAGAAACCGAGTCTGCAGCGTGACATGGAGGAAACAGAACAGCGGTAAAGATAGCCTGGAGTGAAAAGTTTAGAGTGTCATTTCAGTCAAATTTAGGGGCTGATCTAAAGCTATTCATGTATAAACATGTGCAAACTCCATTGCAAGAGCAAACCTGATCTACAAACCGGTTGCATGGATCATTGTGTCACTTTAATATTCGAAACTGCAGGTGCAATCCATTTAGCATTTTGGCCCTTATGAGTTATCACATGCTGATGGTCAGAAGGTGCAAAATACTGTGAGGAGAATATACAAATTATTTAAAAAACCTGAAAAAAGTTGTTTGTACATTTTTATTGTCCATATACTGCCTGTTTGAACATCTGGTGCAAACTTGCACTCAAAAATGTCTGTGGTAATTGGAGCCTTGGGTGCAAAAAAAAAAAAAATGGAAAGAGACTTTGTGCACATGTGAATAGTTTTGGACAATCAGAAACAAAATATTACAGATATTATCTCCTCAGGAATGCTATTTCAGGGGCAGTTTGACTAGCCAATAATTCCAGTGCACCATCACTTTGTAGCACAGCACATGTCTAGAAGCAGAGGAGCACATCTATCCCATAAGGTAGGGCAGATTACTTGATCCAAAGAAATTATTTTAGTTCCTCAACACATTGGGGAACAATTAAGTCTGCATGGTACACATGAATGCAGTGGTTCTGCAAACAAATTTCCAATGATTAAATAAAAACAAAAACCACCTTGTCTAAACCAAATACTGTGACTTGTTTAAATACAAACAAAACTAGATTGGCTTTTGCAAGCATTATTATTTTATCCTTTTATCATTCATTAATCGGACATTTATTATATGTTTTTAGTGTTGTTTTACAGCACTCCTGTATATCTATATAAATAAGTTTGGTTATTTTGACCTCAAACTCCTTGGCTTCAAACTTCATATGTATTTTGCTGCCTCCTAATTTCCCCACATAAAACATGCAAAGTCCTCATTTAAATCGGATGGTTTGAACCTGTTAACCAAATCTTAGCAGAACACACACAGTTTGCCCCTAATGACATGTGCAATTTCTTTTTTTTCCAAGAACATTTTAGCTCTCATAAATAATAATTAAAAAAATGCAGCAGTTTAAGTATCTTTAGAAAATCCCAATTTTTAATTAGAAATCCGCTATTACCACCCCAATAAGCTTTACGCAACATCAGTTTTAATCTGAACCATGTCAGTTTCAGGAGCTTCATTTTTGTCAGCAGCTGCATATATTTAATCCTACTGCCTAAGGTTCTTCCATTAGAGTATATTTTAGTGTGAAAACTGTTGGGTGAAGGAGTCAAAAGTCCACCACATCCAGAAAATTGAAAACATGAGGGCGTTCTCACACAGGAAGGGAAAAGAACGCTTTGATTTCTTCAAGTGTTGACAGAGCAAGGACACCTTATCCAGAACCCTCCCTCCCAACGACTCCTTGAGCAGAACTGCAAGGCGAAAACACCAGTCATTCATTTCAATAAAAGCACATGATGTAATTCCTCCACTGATCGTGGGATAATGAGATTGTAATTCTGACCTACAGAGGTAAAAGGCAGTGGTTCAACCCCAGTCCAAAAATAAAACCCAGGTCTCTCATTTGGCAATCAGCAGCTTTAATCAACAGTTTTACCTTGTGGTTAGTGTTTCACAAATCCCCTGAATATTGCTCATTTTGCTGTAGAGTGAAGCTGATTTGAAGTAGAGAGTTTAGAAGAAATCTCAGTGAGAAAAGCTCTCAATCATCACACGAAAGATGATTCTGGGTTTTCATCTCAAGCTAATAAAAGTCATATGGTAAGAAAAATACCCCAGCAGTCCACACCAGGGATTGATGAGGGAGGGGCGACTTAGAGATCATGGCAGCGCAATGTTTTTCTAGCTCTGCTTCGAAAACAGACATAATCACTCGTACACAAGTAGCAGCCACTCTGTAATGTGTGGTTTTGGAAGCAAATGAGAATTATAACCACAAGAAGTTCTGAATGCAGTCATCATGTATGAATGTTAAGATGAAGCAGAAACCTGCACAGTGCTACTCATATCTAACTAATCATTACATTTCAAACATATTTCAAATCAAGCTCTAATACCTCACTCTATGAGAATTTTCTCATTCAATGTCTTTACTGCAGTGGAGAGCAGATTATTATGGACTTAAAAATGGTCGGACCTTGTCAGATTACCTTTCATTGGGAATGGTATGCCAAAGTACCCTGGAGGCTTTAAACAAAACTCTAATTTCCTTGCAAATCCCACATGTCAATATTGGTTTTAAACTAGGAAAGCATTTTAGGTCATCTCAGGAGACTGATGCTACGATATAACCAGAGTGAATGTATTCCCCTGAGGGAATTTTACATTTTTGCCTGAAACTTGTATAAACTCACTGCACTGAAAACCTTTTCCAAAATGTTCAAGTGCAGATGCTCTTGATGCTAGGTGTTTTTTTCTTAAATGCTGAGGTAGTTGTGCACAACAACTACCGGGACATACATCTTCTGAAAAGTTTCTATTTATCCAAAGTAGAGGTGGGTAGAGTACCCAAAAATTGTGCTCAAGATAGAGCAGCAATACTTAACTACTTCAGTAAACATAAAAAGTAGTCTTTCAACAAATCGCATCAAGAAATCACATCAAGTATTTGTCAAAAGTGCAACTCAAGTGGTAAATTTATAATATTGTTTATAATATTATCTGATGTAAGTTTTAAAAATGCATTAGTTAGACATTATGTGTAGGTTCTGGCATTTTAAACACTAAACTAGATACAAAATACTAATAAATGACATAATAATAAAGACTTTTCTAAATCCATTTATCCCTAAAATATATTTACCTAATCCTTTCAGAGAAAATGTAACTTCTACTAACAATATCTACTGTTAAATGTTTTTTTACCTGATATCCAAATAGCTCAAGTTTCTCACTGTGGCAGAAATTGTACACAAACAGCAGCAGTGGTACTTTGCAATAATATTACTCAAGCAAAAGTAAGAAGTAATGTACAGTAAAACTACTCCTAAAAGTTTAGTTTGTTTGTTTTTGTTTTATTTTTAAGGTTAATAGGATAAGTAAATCTGAGTAGTTATTGCCCACTCCTGATATTCAGAATACCTTCCCAAAAGTCTTGGGGATAATCAGGATGTTTTTTTTTTTATGAAATGTAAGTCTGAACGTTCTGTTTTTCTTTTTTGTTAGTTTGTCTTTGTTTTTTGGGCCTTAAAATTGTTTTCTAGATGCATTTTTTTCCAGCATTCTTATTGTTGAACCATAAATATTGATTTAACCGAGTAAGGTCTGCAGTGCTTTAGATGTTGTTCTTGGTTCATTCTAAGACCATGAAAGAGTCAGCAATGTGATCTTGGATGAATTCTGGTAGTCCAGGGTTGTTTCAAGTTTTTAGGGTTGTGGATCATATTTTTATTGTGGTTTTCTGGAATCCAAAAGCCTCAGCAATGACTTTGTTACACTTTCAGACTGATTGTGTTTTTGCTTTTGGCATTCAGATCAGTTTAGGGTCATAATTATTTTTTATCAAGATGGTTACTTAACAATTTCAAGCCTGAATTCTAGGACTTTTAGCGACACAGAGTTTTCATGAGCAAAACCTTTAATCACGTGTGTTACTGTAGCTGTGAACCACCTGGAGAATAAGTAGATTATTTAGGGGCACCTTAAAGGGTTTGGCTGTATAAAAAAGTGCTACATAAGTAAAAGTCTATGTCTTCCACTCTACCATATCCTTTTGCAATTTGCTGATGGGGCAACCAAAGTTCCCCTCATGGACCATTAAAGCTTCATATTAGCTTCTGTTTAGTTTCACTTGCAGCAAACTCAGCAAACTGTGGGAAAACCCCAAGAACAAACCAAAGCCTAGGTAATGTATCATATGCCTTAATTTATCCAAAGAGGATATATGTCACATCAATCCAGATGTTCGCGCAATGATGAAATTATTAGAGATAGCTGTGTGGGAATTTTTACCAAAGAAAACTCATTGTGAAATTCAAAACAACATATTTGTTTCCCACACCCTTTATGACCCATTCAGTTCTCTGGCTGCAGATCTAAGCAAGTTCAAGTCAAGCTGCTGCTGTTGCAACATTAACTCGATTCTGACAACCCCTGACCATGATTCCAATGCAGGGCAGAATTTCATTAACTCCCATTGTTGACCTTAACAGTGGACCTTTTAAATGATAATGATTTTTTGATGTTTTTGGTATCTTGATGATTTTCAGCAAGAGAGACAAGCAGAGAGAGTAGCAGCTGAGGCAGCAATTTGAACATCTTTGCTATGACTCACTTTTATTCAGAAGGACATAAAAAAAGAGTAAATCTGTGGACCTCTGGTTCACTGAGACATTAATGCAATGCACCTCTATTTCTGATTCATTTGTCCGACGGACATTGCTGCAGAAGTCTTGCGGTTCTTTCAAGAAAAAATTAGTAAGTTGTTGCCTTCAATTTATTTATTTAATTATTGTTGCAGGGAGCAGCAGTTTACTTCTGCCAGGTCTTTCCGGTCTTTTTGTAACTTTGCTTTCCCATTTATAATTCAACATACTGACTGAAGCCTGCAGTTGGAAATCGGTAGGCTTTTTGATTTTATTTTTTTAATTCTTAGGTTATTGTACAGTCTGATCTCCAAAATAAATTGCCAATAGGTTGATACGGTGCAACAGATGAGATCTCTGCTGATTACTGTTCATTTTGGCATAATTTTAGTGCACACCTACATCTTCCAGAGCAAGGCTATTGATCAATTTTTCCATTGAATCTGACAGAAACACCAAAGCTTGAATGTGTTAGGAATTTAGTTTGTGCGGTCTGTTTGTGTGTTTCCTTCTCTCCACCACCAGGAGGTGCCCTGTCGTCGTTGGGCCTCCCTGCACAACGATTATCTGGAGGAGTATTTGAGCAGTGGGCTGTCACTACCTCAACACCAGAGTGTTTGCCAGTTTTGGGAAGCCTTCCTCTATACCTGGATACCTGGACCTTCTCCCCCTGGAAGGAGAAACTGATTTCACACTGAGCAGGGGAAACCTCCACGTGATCCGTTCAAGTTCACATCGGAAATCTGAGTGACAGTCTGCTCCATTACTCCTCTGGGTCCAACGCTTGTCTACCTGTCCGCTCTCCAACGGGTTCCGTATTCTCTGGATAATCCCACACAGACTGAATTCAAGGGTTGACAAGAGCCCCCAAAAATGTGAGTCCCTCTCCTGCATAAATGTAACAACATCCAAGATTCCCACGGTCCCTGAACTGATCTCTGTGATCTTCCCTTCTGACTTCCAGTTCCGGTTCACCAGTTCACTGAGTTCCAGACTCAACGCCAGTCCTCATTACAACAAATAAACCTGTTGAACTTTCCTTTGTGTTCTCTGAGTGGTTACTCTGCATGTGGGTCAGATTCTTTAAAACAATCATGACAGAAAGTGTAAAATGAGAAGAGATCAATGACGGGTTAAATACTGTTACCTTGTATTTTCTGGATCACCAGTAGCCAATTAAAATAGCTACCCAGAGACATCAAACACAGACTTATTTTACAATCCCTTCTTCTCTTCTCAGGATTTCCTGAGTGTACCAAGGTGGGAATGGGGTTGATGTCAACCTGTCAAGCTCAGAACAGGCGAATCCGATATTGAAAGCGAACAGTTAGATTTCTTAAAACTTTATTAAAAACTTAATTGGAGTGAACAACGTCTGCAGTGGGTGGAGACAGCAGGTTAGTGACCACGTCCTTGTGGAAGTGGATGATAATGAACGAGTGAGTCACTAACCTGGTATTATAGTTCAGTCCAAATCCATAGGGTGAGGCTGATTCCAGCCGGCTGGCTGCTATCATGGTATAGCGTTGATTTATCAGTGGTCAGAGAACCAGCAGGAGATCAAAACCAAGCAGACAAATGTAGGCAGGATTATCCAGAGCCGATGTTGGGGAACATGCTCTGTTGTCAAGCCAGGAGGTCAGAGATACGGTGAGGTGCCAAGGGAGAATCCAGGATGGAGTCAGGTCACAGTTCCAGATACATCACATAAACATGCAGAGATCCGGCAGGAATCAGAAGACAGGTCAGGTAAATAGATGGGAACAGGTCGGGCTCCGAGGTTGAGAAGCAGAACAGGTCAGGATCAAGTTATCAGAGTACAGGAATGCTAGAACTCTCCCCAACAGTTCAAAAATAATCTGGTTCTGATGACTGGTCTGAAGGCTGGTTAATAGAGACTAATGCAGGAGGATCAGATAAGCAGGTAATTAATTATGCGGGTGTGTGAAATCAGTACTCAGACCAGGCATCAGAGCCAAGATCATGACAAAACCAACTGGTGTATGCTTCTGAGTTAGTAAGAACAGAACCCAGTTTGAATGAAAATATAAATAATTATTAGTTTATTAGGTTTTAACTTAGAACTTGAAAATCATTTTCAAACCAATACATCTAATTTTAATACTATATCAAAACAGTCTCTCTGAGCAATTTAAATGCAGCCTAATGCTCGTTTCCTGCAAACTTTGACGACCTTAATTTAAGGTAGTTACTGTTCTAAATTAGTGATCTACAACACGATCATGTGACTCGTTGAATAATATGTCAGACCACAATTATTGATTGTGTTTGTGTGGTTGGGTGATGGGGGGAGATTTATCATTTTTGTTCATATTTGTATCTATAATAATATGAAGCAATAAAATATAAGAGAAAAAAATTAAGGTCTAAATCTGGGAAATATCAGTTTATTGATCAAATTTAAGCCGTAGAGAACTAGATGGCAATGTGTAAGTATAAAATGTTGGTCTGAAAAATTCACTCAAAGCCCATAGGGACACAGGTAATTCTGCAACATGCACTGATGGACACACTGTGCAGGTTACAAAGAAGTGTAGTTTCAATCACAGGAGTGAAAAATGGATTTGGGGGGTTGATGCAACATGGTACCCATTGACAAATGGTGAGTGCCTCAAAAAACATTTACAAAAATTAGATAATCAGATATAGTTACCTTCCCTCCTGCTACGTTCAGTGAAAGAATTGCATCTATACTGGCTTCTACCTGCCTTTTTGTGCTGTAATTATGAATCTGGAAACTTTTCTACATTTTTTTAACTGTTGATCATGCTTCAAATCAAACTTTTAATGTTTATACTTTGTTAAACAGAAGGGTTATTTTTCAGACCACGCGATACAATAAAAGCTTTAACAGTTAATCTAAGATTTATCAGCACAGGAAGGAAGAAATTAAGTTACAGTTACTGACTTTGCTTTAAGAAAATTTGAACTTGGACTTGAATATCATAGCAGAATACTAGTAAACGCATCGGGGGTTACGTTGATGCATATTGATTATGGCTCCCATATTTATTCAAACTGAGGACAAATGCCACAGAGGGTGATTAAATCCAGGCTCCGTGCTTGGACGCTTCTGGGGCGGATTTTCCAAAAGCAAGGGAGTTGGCGCCGGTGATCCTGTGTATTTTCCACCCTGATCTCTACTTGGCAGAGGGCTAAATAATAAAGCTCCTTTTTACTAAACTGCCTTGGGTTCCCTGTGTACAACCCCCGCCCCCCCACACTCCCTTGTCTCTGCTGTTTTAACATGACCCACCACTATGAAGACCCCAACCTTTCCTCCCAAAGCCAGCCCCAAGCCCATGCTCTCTGTGGGGTCAAGCTAACTTGGCCTTGAGGCCACTTTGCAAGGACATGAACATACAATGGTGGAATTGATGGGTGAATAGTGGAAGTTGTAACTGATAACCATCTGAAAATAAAGTCATGGAAAGAAGTCCAAACAGACATCAATCTGGGGGGGCGTATATCTGTGCCTATACGTCTCTGCATATATCCCACATATGTTTTTGCGTTCTAGCTGTTATTTTTGATTGCATCATGGAGTGCAGCAGTGTATTACTCAAGCCCAATCACGGAAACATAGCAAGCTGTGATGAAACGTCCATTCATGCGGCCATGCGTGGATGTGTGTTTATTTTACTTCTGTGTAGGTTAATCTGGGTCCTCAAAGCCTGGCCCTGTGTGTGACTGCCAAGGCTCACAAACCTCGTGTACTCTGATCAGCCTGCCAGCTTTGAAACCTGAGAAGCCTCCTCTGAAAAGCTCACAGCCCGGGCTTATTTTGCCTCCAGATGTAAATTCAAATCAGGTAAATCTGAAGGAATACCTCTCTTGTAAAAACATTGAATTCTAGAATATTTCAGCACTGACAGGGTTTTGTAGCACCTTTACCTCCACATGTCTAAAAACACAAGGCATTTAATATAGATTTAGACTCTGACTAACCATGTAGGTGGAGGAGTATGCAGTAAAAGCCAAAACAGTAGCTTGGTAATAGGGAAGGAAAATTAAGGGATTTTTCCATTTTTGCCCACTGAAACATTTTCCCTGTTAACAATGAAATAAAAACACCACATAAGCCTTAGGGTACACTGGAAGAAATTAGTCCCCAGCTGCTGTATTTAATCAACAAGGCCACAAATAAAGCTGTGACGCCCAGTGACCAGTTTTTATCAAGCTATAATCTCAGAAAACACATCACTTAAGAAGCGATGGAAAGAGGTATTGCAAGCACAGTTTAAAATTAAAATCAGTCTGCATGCGAAAGCAGAGCCTGAACAAACTTTTATTGCATGACAGTTAAGGCTCACGGCCCTTCCTCAGATTACCAAACCTTTAATGTAGTCTTTTTTCTTGAGAAGAAAGAACTTGGTGCTTTAAACCACTTTTAAATTAGTTAATTTATGTCAAAAGTGCAGTATAAACTAAAAAAAAAAAATGTATTTCACACAATATTTTTTACAGCTATTAAAAGAAAAATAAGCCCTTTTTTTTGCCTGTGTCAGACATTATGATAAAATGTTCCTGCTTATAAATCTATCCATCCATTTTATTATTATCATTTGGAGCTAGACTACCTGGAGAGAACCCACTCATGCTAAACTCTAAAACCTGACAGAAACAGTTTAAACAGGTCATTACAGTGTGAGGGCTCACACACTATTCTCTCAAGAATTTAGTATAAGACCGGAAGACTAGATATAGGTCTACAATTAACTAAATAATCTTGATCAATTGAATATTTTTTAAGAAACTGTTTATTTGCAGCAATCATAAAAACCTATCATATCACTGTTCCAGGAATAGTCAGTCATATATAAAGTGGTGGTGGAGGATTGGCTCTAACATACATTGAAGTTGAAGGTTTAGATGCTGATTCAAGAAGTTTGAAAACTCAGAAAGCACAACACAATTCAGGGTTCTATTGTTACCTTTGATATTGCCTCAATTTCTAGGAATTAATCATATTAGGAAGAATTACATTATTTATTTATTTAATGAGTAGGAAAATGCTTTGAAGAAATATTGTTCTCTCCACAATTATTACTGTATGTCAGGAAAAGGTCCAAAATATAGATAAATATTACAGTAAGAGTTAAAAAACTTAAAACAGAAAAATAAGTGCTATAAAAGATTATCAATAATCAAAATACATTTTCGACCAACAGAAAATGACACGCTTCTGCTTACCTTCATGTTGAGCATGTTTTTCCTCCTGTTTTCTCTTTTTGCTGACCTTCACACCAAATGGCTTTGACCTCCTCACTTCTATCTCCTACAGACACGTAAAACCTGGTTTAAGCTTAAAGGTACAGTGGAGGATTTTCGCGAATTTTTGAAAATATCCGCCCTCTCCACTTTAAAAACAAAAGGGAGGGGAGGGAATGCTTATTAAACATGTGTGAGAGCATGCACGAGCCCATTTCTCCTCATCCACGCTCTGTTTAAAAATTGCATCGCTCATACAAGCTTACTTTGCCATTTTTCCACTATGTCAGACTCACCACCGTGAGCTAAAATGGGGACGAGCATGCAGGACAGCCTTATGTAAACATATCACCAGAATGATTGACAATTAGGAGGACCACTTATTTTGATGATCCACCCGGACAAAGAACATCCTCCCCTATATATTGAATATGTCATTGAGGTCTGTGCAACTAAATCAGGGCTTTATATTAACCATCGCCCGATCTCCCGGGGCAAGTAGTTTTTATTGTTGGGAGAGTACAAATTTCATTGCATTTGCCCGCCGGGCAAGTACAATGATCGCAAAAAAAAAATTATTTATCACTCAAAATTACTTTAAAATCACCAACATCACTGAAAACGATCTATCATGTCTTCTGTACAGTGGTCATACATTATTAAAATTGTCATAAATTTTTTTTCTCTTAGACATTGGAGTGGTGCATTTAAATGTTATAGAGCTAAACATGTTAAATTGGTGAGTAGTAGTAGTGTAAGTTTTTAACCTGTCAAGTTCTTTTTGAATTTTTAACATTACAATTTAT